TATATAATAATTATATATGAAATTAAAAAAATAAAATAATAAATTCATTTTTCTATATATATATATAATAGTATATATAATATATGTAATATAGTACATAATTTTAATAAATATTAATAACAATAATTATAATCATATTAGAATAATAGAAGAGAAAGAATCATATTAAGAAAAAGAATAAAAGAATCATATTAGAATCATATTATAATATATAAAATTTTTATAATATTAAAAAAATTATTTTTATAATATTTTATAAATTTATATAAAAATATATGTTTCAAATTGACGATCGAATTAACGATGATATTAATAATATTTAATAATTTTTAGCAATGATCATAAAAATTAGAAAATTGTTTCTCAGAAGAGATATGACAAATGAATAGATTATAATATATATTTTAATTAATAACATATCTATATATGTAATATATGATATATTTATTGATTATTTTTATTTAAAGAATTTTGTTATTTTTTTCAAATTTCTCTAATTTAATAAATAAATTAAAATAGTAATAGCATATCCACATCATTAATAATTTTATTTTTTAAGAAATTTTATAATTTTTATAATTTATCTAGAAAAAAAAAGAAAACAGAAATTATCTTATTTATCTAATTTATTTCCAGATTAAATAAATAATAATAATTAATAGTGAATTTTTTAAAAATTTATAAAAAATATCTTTCTACATAAATTTTTTATAAAATATTAATTATTTTGAATTAATCAATATTCTTTTAATTGATTTCCAAATTTTAAAAAATAATAATAAAAAAAATTAAAAATATTATTACATCCATTTACTTTCTATATTATATATTTAAAAAGAATTATTATTTTTAAATAGCAAAAAAGCAAAATTTAGTGAAATCTAATTAACAAAATTGATTAATTGTTATGTTTCTCTCTCACCTTGATAGCCATGTTTTATATTTTGTATAATCCTATGACTGAATGAAAGTCAAGAAGGAAACTAACTTCAGTTTAAAGTGACAAACGTATTTATAGGTAGTACATATATATATCTTATAGGAAGGATTGTCATTTGTGGGTGTATGTGAATCGATGCTCTTCACAACTCTTGATGCATTGCAAACAGTTTGGAAGTTACATACGTGACATGTTTTCGACAGCAAAAGTTTCGCTCTCATTTTATTTTCTAATAGCTGCATATTGAACATTTTTTTATATTTGAGCACATTTTAGTTTTTATTATTGATTCTCTTTTAAATATTAAATACATACATATATATTTCTATATTTGAAAACAAATGTAAAAATTTGTAAAAATTAATAATTTATATATTTTATTATTTCAATATATATCTTTCGATATATATTTTTTAACGAAAAACATTAAAATTCTTTTCTAGAATTTTAAATTAAAATTTATATGTATATATATACAGTAATTCTTCGTAACAATATATGATTTTAATTATTAATGATGAAAAATATGAAAAATATTAATGATAAATTTTTGTTTCAAAAATTTAATACTGAATTGGAATTTAATAATAAAATTAATAACTAATTCAAATATTTATAAAAGTTATATTAATAAAAACAAATTTTGTTAATTCAAATTAAAAAAATAAGTATCAAAAAATAATTAGAAATATATTAATAAATATATCTTGTTCATATCTTGTTTAAAAAAATATTTATCAAAATTATATATATTAATTTTTTTATTCTCTATTCAATATTTATAAAATTTTAAATAATTGATATAAATAATATCTTAATGTTCTTGACATTACTTAAAATATAATAGCGCAATGTATTTTATATTAAATAAAAAATATAAATATAAAATAGATAAAATAAAAAAAAACATTAAATTATTGTTTACAATATAATTAATTATTAAACAATTAATTACTATACAATTAATTATTGTTTACAATATAAAAATTTAGAAAAAAAGAATTCGGACAATAATTTTTCCTTTTTTTAAAACTGTTGTACTTTCACTGTTGCATAATTCCGTATAGTTTTAGTCACAGTTATAAGTGTAACATTTCCGTCATGTAAGCAAATGATACAAAGAATACTAAACATTCTTGATGTTTAATGAAAATGATCCGCTTTGGAATATTTATATTTTATTTTTCAGTTTCTCCAAGTTTTCGTTATTCTATTAAATGTTAGAATTATCTATTACATGGATGAAAAATATCTACCATATATTTTATTTTTTTAAAATATAATATTTTACACTTTAATTAAAAAAATAAATACCTAACATTATTATAATCTTAATTTACATCAATATTATTTATAAAGAAAAAAAAATAAAAATAAAATAAATGTAATTTTTTGTTTTTTATAACTTTTTAACATAATTATAAGAAAGAATCCAAGTCACATGCTTTTGATGAGATATTATTTTTTAAAAAAATAAACAACAAGTATTTTTTTTTTATTAGTTATCATATAGTTGAAAAGATGAAAATAGATCCTAAAGTTGTAAAAATATATTTTTGAAATATCAAAAGAAAGAATATTTTTTTTAAATTATGCATCTTTGAATAAACTTGAACTTAATCATGTAAAAAATTTGAAAACATTTATTTGGTTGAAAAATATTAAAAATTTGAATTTTTTGTTAATTTTTGTTAATCAATATTAACAATCAATATCTTTATGAAATAAATATTGATTATATTAATATTAATGTATTAATACAATTTGTATTAATACATTAATATATGTATTAATACAATATAGCTAAAACTACTATATAAAAAATATATAAAATTAGTATACAATATGCAACTAATATAAAAAATGTATAAAAAAATCATAAAAAAATTAAAATCATTTACTAATTTTATAAATATTGAATTAAATTCAATTTATTATAATTTTAAAAATTTTAATTAATTATATAATAAAAAATAATTATAAAAATCTTTATATTTTAGATTTAGAATTTTCTAAATTCTTCTTCCCTTTCTTAGAATATATTCCATATATTATATGACTGCCAATTATATAATTTTTCAAATATTTTCACTAAATTAATAACAAAATTTTTCGAATAATTAATTTGTATTCAATTGATACAAATTGTACAATAGTTCGAAAATAGTTTTTTATTAAAAAAAATTTAAATTATTTTAATTTTTTCAATGAAATTGTATATTTTTTATAAAAATCAATGCACTTTTATATTTGTTTTAAAAAAATATTAGAATCTTAAATCAAAAATTGATTAATTCAGAAATCATGATTTTTGTTGCGAATTATATATAGAAATTAGAAATACTCATTATTAATTCAGAAAATATAGTTGTTAATAGATTATTAATGTCATTTTATAATATTATTAATATTACTAATGAATTAACAAAATATCCAGAAAATGACAAAAATATATAATAAATATTTGTATAATCATATTTTATTAAATATATGATATAAATATTACAATTTAAATAGAAAAAGACAAGAATTTATTTAAAATATCTTTTGTTTTAAAAAAAGAATATATGATAAGAGAAATTAATACATAGAAATTAATAAATAAAAATTTAATACATTTTTATATTTCCTATATTAAAGAATAAAAAAAAAAATTGTATGCTATAATATTATAAATATATATATGCTTTATGTAAATCACATTAGGTTATAATTGTTTTAAATAAATTTATTAAATTAAATTATTTTAAAACTTATTAAAGAAAGTATATTTTTATGCTGAAAAATATAAATATTTATTTTATTTACATAAGGTTTTTATTATTGTATATCATTGATTTTTATTAATTTTATGTTAAAATATATTCAATATTACATATCTGTATTCTGTATACAACTTTCATTGCTTTCAATTTAAGATTAAATATTAGATTGTTTAAAATTCCATGTTTAGAGAAATACAAGACATACATATAATTAAGAGAAATTTGATAGATTATATTATTATATTTTCCTAAAATAATTTAATTTATAATAAATATTCTTCAGCAAACAAATTATAGTGAGAATTTGTATATTTTAATAGATGTCACTTAAATAGACAGTTTAAAAATTGTCAAATAAATTCACTTAATAATTTATTAAAAATGCTATACTGAAAGTTATTTATGAAAATAAATTAATAAGAACAATAATTAAATAATACAAAATCAATAAAATTACATTATCTAGATATTACATAATTAATATATATAAGATATATATATATATATTATATATTAAATATAAAAATAATAAAAATATATTTTTATTATGATTATATATTACAATGATTAAAAAATACAAAAAATCAATAAAATTACATTATCTAGACATTACATAATTAATATATAATATAATATATATATATATATAAGATATATATAATTAAATATAAAAATACTAAAATATATAAAATATATAAATATATAATATAAAATATATAATATAAAAATACATTTTTTTATCCAAATTTCATAACATCATAAATATTTATAAACAAAGAAAAAAATTACTAATAGAATATTTATTAACTTCAGCAAATCTTAATTATGGTTTTTATATTATGCTATGTAGTTTATATTTTTATTTTATAATATTAATTTTATGGATTTTGAAAATCATACAAACTATTAAGAATGTAGACGAAAATGAAAATGCAACTTGTATTTGTTGCAATTCTTGCAATTCTTTATATTTACGTTCGAAACTAAATGCACATTGAATTTAATATCAAATATGTTCTAAATGATGCCACACAATATACTAATAACTAACTATTCAAACAAAATTACTTTTATTGTAAAATTTATATGAAATAAACTTTTTTATAAAATATATTTTTATATTATTTTTATATTTATATATTATATTATGATTCAATTATATATCTATAAGAGATTTGAGATTTAATATATTTATTATACATTTTATTTAACATAAATTTATTTTTTGTTTAAATTTAAAAAATTTATATTTGTTTTTATTAAAGAATATTAAATATAAAAAAGATTATTATAATATTATTCAGTTTTTTTTATACAATCTTTTTTTTTAAAAATGTATCAATCTTCCTCAGTCTTTCCTACTATTCATAATTATAAATTATGAAAATCTTACTAAATAATAGAAAAAATAAAAAAAAAAAATAGTGAATATCGACGATCTTATTTCTTTTAAATTAATTGTTAAAAGTTGTCAAAAAAGTTAAAAATAATTTAGAAATTAATAGATTGATTAATATTACATGTCAATTTTTTATTATATCAAATATATCATAATAGTATTAAAATAATAATCATATAAAAAATATTATATAAAAAGAATGTAAGAAGAAATTATAAAAAAAATTTATAAAAAATATTTATTTGTTTATTAATAAAACAATGTAATTTGTATAGACAAAACAACAATTATCACATGATTATAATATTATAATATATATAACTATATATATGATATATATAATATATTTATATGTTTATTCTGTATATATTTCTATGTAGGAATGTATATAAGAATGTATATAAGGAATGTATATAAGGAATGTATGTGAATGTATACATTTCTGTGTATACAAGATGAATATATTGGAAATAATTGATTTATATTATAATAAAAAAAAATATATATTCTATATGATTTTGTTTTTAAGTTACAATTTATTTTATATTGTAATATTCACTTACACATTTTTAGAAAAATTGCTTCAATTTTCTACAAACATATAATATAGATTTTCAAATTTAATAAATTTCCTAAAAGAATTAATATTTCGAAGACGCTCATATATATTTTGAAACATATTTTTCTCGAGCAAACGGCAATTTTCTAGAAATCATTCTAAAAAAAAAAATCTAATTTGTCAGCATTACATAAGTCTATATATAAAATATATGCCAATTTTTATTTCATAGTTATAAAATGATATCTCATTTTCATGAAATCAAAATTCATAAAATCAAAAATTTATAATATCTTACTTTCTTTGCTGAAAGTATATTAAATATTTCATTCATAATATAATATAATACATAATATAATACAATATAATATATTTATATTTTTTTCCTTATTTTAATATAATCAAATTAATTTCTGTCATATTTTCTACATGTTTTAAATCATCATGAATACATAAAATATATATATGTTCTTGAAAAAATCATTAAAAAATAATATATAAAAAAATTCTCTAATACATAAAAAAAATTTTGTATGATTTATTTTTCAATATTATTTAAATTTTTTTTTTTACATATTTTTTGTATTTTTATAAAGAGAAAATATTTATTTTAATCTATTTCAAACAAAATTATTATTTAAGTATTATTATTATTATTATTAAATATTAATTTAAAAATTTATGTTTTTTATAAATTAAAATATATTATATGGTAATTAAATGACAAATTTCAATAATATTCTACTTTATTAAATATTACAATTTAATTCAAATAAAATGTAGAAAGTATAAAACATTCTTTATACTATTGAAATATAAATAATTTAAAAATTATTCAAATATTTTCAAACTACTGTATACTATAGAAACCTCATTTTTATACAACAAATATAAATATATTTATTAATAATAGAATGGACTTTTTATATTATTGTTTACTAATAAAATTGACCCTTAATATTATATAAGAAAAATAATTATTAAATAATTATTTATATTTTGGAAATTTACCTTATATATTTTTGTTGATATAA